GCACTCGCTAACGCCTTATTTGTAGTCTTTTTTTTTTTTTTTCATATAGAATCTTTTATGCAGAAAAGGGGAGAGCGCGGAGCACGTGCACCAACGTTCCCAGTGTCACTTAATGCCAGGAACTTTTTCTTCTTCTTTTTTTTTTTATTTAATCGTCTTGCGTTGGTGCAAGCGTGCGCTGGTATTATTACTTTAAAGGCCTGTTCATTAGTTCACACATACAAGACTAAAGCAATTGCACCCTACCAGTACAGAAATGATCTCTTTAAATACTCTTTCTTTTGTCGGACTATTATTGAGTGGAACACCCTGCCAGAGCAAGTTGTCAATTGTTGTAGTCGTGAATTATTTGAAGCACAGCTGAATGAATTGTTTAGTTAAGTTTTGCTGGTGGAAATGTATATTTTGAGCATGCGTGGGTAGCTGCAACCTACCTGCGCTCGCTTCACACGGTGAGTGCATGATTGAGTTCCATTTTCTTTGTGTTGTTTTTTCCCCTCTTGTGTAGACCGACAGGTCCACAGTATTTCAAATAAATAAATAAAATAGATGTGTGCGCGCGCTGACGGGGAGCTTACGCCGTTCTTTTGCGACGTGCATTCCGCACTATCAAGATTACCGGTCTTACCAGGTAGAGTTCCTGTATAGGAACCGTGCGCATCTAATTCAAGCCCCGACCAGGGCGCCCCTAGCGGCAAACGGGTCCATCGCATCGGGGAGCTTCTGCCAGTCGCTGCGTTGGTTGTGCGTTGTAGTGGGTTAGCCGGTTAGCGTTGTAATTTCTGAGATGGCTATTCCGCACCAAGAAAGCGGCAACAATTGCTGCGTGGTCGGCTGCAACAGCACGTCGAAGATCGCACACGGCAGGAAGTACTACATCGTCCCTTCGAAGCCGTACGGCCGTACGAGGCGGAGTACTGCGCGACCTGCAGGTGCGACTTGTGCGTCCATACAGGTTAGTGGCGTTTCTTACCTTTCTGTTCGCGCTTTGTTTAAGCTGCTGACGAATAATACAATTAACTTTTTTCTATTCTAGCGACGATGGAACCGCATCGACACTGACGGCAAACTCTAAAGTATGCGGCAAATACTTCACCGGAATCGAGAAGCGGAGTGCGGTCGCCCACCTAAGCCTACACTTGGATGTTTCCATCAGCCTGCAGGAAGATAGTAGTGGGAATCGCGGAACGGCGCGAAAAAAATCGCCCAGTTATTGTCAAGCTGATTCAGAAATAAACGTACATAATTACCACGGTCCACTCAACGCCAACTACATTTTTTTGCGGGCACGCTTAATTTTGTTAGCGGAGTACGGCGCTCCGTGACATCCACTTGTCTGTCGAAACGGACCTCCTTCACGTCGTACACGCGGCCAGATTCACGAAGGAGTTTTCCCTTCTTCATACTGGTACCACAGAAGAAGCTTTCTAGATTCGTAACCGCCTTAAACCCCGTCGTAATCACCCCGGGAACACTGTCCACTGTGCTGCTCATCGCCATTGCTTCCCCCCGATGATTCTGCACCGGCTACCGAAGAAGTTTTCCGGATTCGTAATCGCCCTCTGTCCTCTGTGGTGTTCGTTGCTATTACTTCCCGATGATTCTGCGGCGACGGCACCGGCTACCGAAGGAACTTTCCGAATTCGTAACTGCCTTAAATTCCTTCGTAATCACGACGGGGATACTGCCTGACGTGCTGTTCGTCGCCATTGCCCCCCGATGCTCCTGCGGCGGCTACCGCTAGGTCGCGGCGAACAATAGGCGACCGCCGCGACACGGCCGGCATGCTCGCTTCCTATAGGCTCCCTACGGGAGCCAGAGTTGCGCTTTCATCCCCGTAGCGCCGGCTTCCCTGCACGGCAGTCGGAGTCTGCTCCTCACGTGACTGAACTCGGCGAATAGCGGCGCCGTGCGTTCGAGGCGCGCGGCGCGCTCAAAAGCAGGGAACATACGCCAGGGCACGCGCAACGTCTACTTTCCTGCACGGCACTTGATCCGGCTCCTCACGTGATCGGATCTCGGCGAATAGCGACGCGGCGGCACGTGGAAAACAGACGCGCAACTCAACTTAGAGTCAGGATGTTTGCACATGACGTCAATCCGCCATTTTGTTGTTAGTTTGTTTTTTTCAAGCAAATTCACGACCATGAAGGATTACATCGCAACCGGTTGAGATGATGTCAGCGTGATACGACCGTAAGCATCTGTGCTCTACGTATTTGAGAAGTCATGTAAATCCTTGGAAATGCTCGAGTTTGGCACACGACAGAGAGACCACAACAAAATGGTGGACGAAATTACGTCAGTGAAAACACCCTATACAGGAACTCTATTACCAGGCTAATAATGGCGTACCCGGATGAGCAAAAATCGCGCCGCTGAGCGGCGTAACCATGACAACCGTTGCTGTCATTGGTGGTGCTATTATGGTGCCTGGAGCGGGTCTCCGACCGGTGTGTTTAGCATCCTGTGTTGCCCATACATCACAAGTGGTCCCTAAATGGCAACAATGACGTCACAGAAGCCGGAGTGTCATGTTGTTGCATGTCGCGATCCTGGTGGTTGGTCGTGGAAGTTCTGGCAAAAAGCACAAGTGAACGCGAGTGTCGCTGTCTTCACGGTGACCCAACTTCTGACTGCGAAAGCGAAACAGGCGTCTGCCACATTCACCACCGCTACTGGAACAACGCCAGGATCGCGACCGGCGACAGCATGACACTTCTATGACGTCACCAGGCGGAAATCGAGGGACCAGTTTTTCGAACACGGTAAACACACCAGTCAGACGAAAATACTCCCTGGAGAAGGGGAACAGGGGGACAAAGGACAAACAAAAAACTCCAAACACAGCTAGGGGACTGGTGCGCTACCGAAAAAGTCCGCCTGGTCCTGGTATCGAAACAGGGACCCCTCCCTTTCCAGTGGAGCACTCTGCCAACTGGGCTAGCCAGGAGTTAGACGACAAGAGAGAAAACGGGTTTCATCAGCTGCCACCAGCCTAACACCAACAAGGGCGAACGTCCTTCATTTTCTAAGGTTACGATGATAATGCAATTAGTGCAGGGGTGCAAGCGAGCTGAACAAGAATGACGAAAGTATTCTATCGAGGTGTTCGACTGGTGGCAGCTGATAAAACCCGCTTGCTCTAGTGACGTCAAGCTCCTGGTTAGCCCAGTAGGTAAAGCGCTCCGCTGGAAATGGAGAGGTCCCTGGTTCGATACCAGGACCAGGCGGATTTTTTTCGGTTGCGCGCCAGTCACCTAGCTGTGTTTGAAGATTTGTGTGTTGTCCTTTGTCCCCTTTGTTCCTTTTTTCCAGGGGGTATTTTCGTCATTCTTGTTCAGCTCGCTTGCACCTTCCCATTTATTGCATTATCATCATAACAGGGCTCCGTTTTTTCGGAGTTTATTTTTCGTCAAATTCGGAGGGTGTATTTCGAAGTTTATTTTTTGCCGAAGATTCGGAGTTTATATATATATTTTTTTTTATTCCCAAATCTCCGAAATTTGTAATTTAATTTCGCTGTGTTTCCTATTAAAAATAAATAAATAAATAAATAATGACCGAATGTAAACGCATGCCAGATAAAAATAAAACGCGCTTGTATCAATTGAAATATCTTCAGTGGAATTTGGCGTTGGTGCCATTGCCATTGGTAATACTAATTTATTCACGACAAAAGTCACACACAGGTGGTGCTTCAAAAAACGCCGATACCTTAAAATCAATACACTCCCGGAGGTAGTCGCTAGGAAGCTCGTAGTCATCCATCCTATTTCATCAATCTAGCCCGCGGCCGCGCGAGGTGGAGTGGTTAAGGAGGTAATAGAGAGTCTGAACTGCCCCTCTTCCCAATTTTATACAATCCCTATGGTCCATAGCTTTCACTGTTACTAAAACGTACCCTTTCCTTTCTCTAAATCACAAATCGCATGGCCCAAACTGGAAACCAAAAGAGTGGCTTTTGTCGTGACCCGAATGCACAACAAACGACCTGTTGCCCTGAATCAACCTTGAAGAGACAAGCGGCAAGGCCCCTTTTGACAACGGTCCGAGATTTGAAAGATAATTAAAGTGGAATTTTCCCAGGACCATTGGCTCTGTGCTAATATAACTGTAAAAAAAAAATATATATATATATATATATATATATTTTTTTTTTTTTTTTTTTTTTTTTTTTGGGGGGGGGGGGGGGGGTTTGGGGGGTGGCATTGACACAAATATCCGGAGTGGATAAATCTGATTTTACAAAAATTTCACCGGCGGGTGTTTTCCACAGTTTTTCGGACTTATCCGAAAACACGGAGCCCTAAATCATAACCTTAAAAAATGCAGGCCGTTTGCCCATGTTGGTGTTAGACTGGCGGCAGCTGATAAAAACGGTTTGCTCTACTGACGTCTAGGTCATGGCTAGCCCAATTGGTAGAGCGCTCCACTGGAAATGGAGAGGTCCCTGGTTCGATACCAGGACCAGGCGGATTTTTTCGGTCGCGAACCAGTCACATAGCTGTGTTTGGAGATTTTTGTTTGTCCTTTGTCCCCCTTGTTTCCCTTCTCCGGGGAGTATTTTCGTCATTCGTGTTCAGCTCGCTCATCATACCAGTCAGAGACCCGTTCCAGGCACCATACCGAAACCAAAACTACACGTTGACAGTCTCTTGTTCCCAGAGCGCATTTAAACCGCTAGGGCCGCTGCTGATTTGCCTCGTGAATCCATCCCTTGATCCCAGTGGTCATGAAAGCCCTGCTCACGAGTTCTTCCAGGATGCTTTTTCTGCACTTTGAGTACGAACCAACGTTGGTACGAACCAGCGTCAGTACGAACTGTACGTCATCTCTTCTTGTAAATATAAAACATTCATATATTTTTGCTTATACTTTTTTGAAGTCATGGTTATATAAAATGAACATAAAATTCATTTATAAAAGTTTGTTTTAGTCCAGCAAGAAGTAATTTTAACATTACGCTATTTTCTTAAAGCTGGTCAAGTCAGCCAAGCCAGTCCAAGCCATCTTTCGACCGGAAGTTTACGTAAGTGCTCGTTCTTCGCGTTCTTCGCTTGTTCGTTGTGGCTTTGTGCCGGTCGCCGCAACAAATAAAGAGTATATCACATTCATAAAACTTCTCTGCATTGTGCGCTATGTTGAACAACACCGTTAGCATCAAAGACCGCGAAACGCTGTATAGGCTCATCATTAGGTAAGCAGTTCATGACATTGCTTGTCGTGCATCTTCGCGCACATGCGCTGCCTCTGGGCAAAGTTTATCTAAATCCTTACCGATTAGAGTACGGTTATGGTCTCACGAACTTGTAACCGTTCAAATACATACCAGTACACTCCGTTTTCTTCGTACGATTAGGTCAGGTCCTGTCAGGATGCCTCGTAGATATGTTGTCGAAGTTTTCAAGTGCCGGCTAGCACCGTTTTGCGACGTTCGTTTTGAGACTCGTCACGCAAACACTGATTTATTGACATATTATGCTTCCTTTATACCTTGTACCCCATGCACCTGTGCAGCTCTTGTTGTGTTGGAGGTCGTAGCAGAGTCCGCTTTCTTTTCGCCAATAGTGGAACACGGGGACGCTGGGGGGCTATGTTGCGCTTTTTGGACTCCCAGGAGACTAGGGAGAGGGAAGTGACGTCAACGACACAGCAAGCGCAGATTGGGTGTTGATTTTGTTTTCTTCTGTCAACATCCAATCTGCGTTTGCTCTAGTCGTTGACGTCACTTCCCTCTTCCAAGTCTCCTGGGAGTCCAAAAAGCGCAACATAGCACCCCTGGTGTACTCCACCCGATCGTCAGTCTGTACTCCGTTTCGCCTAACGACGGACCATTGTGGATGCTACGAGCCATCAGAGCCAATCCACCGCCGTGTAAGTGTTACGTGAGTTCCGGGACGGGAGCAGCAACGCGCGGGCTTGTAGCCACGTGACACATTCATAGCGCTGGATTGGCCGGGACGGCTCCTAGCGTCCGCAGCGGTCTCTTTGTGCCAGCGGCCTAGCATTTTGGGAGTCTGGGCCATTTCTACAGCCTAGCATAGTGCCCCATCCGACAAACCGGCCCTCGCGTGTTCTTTTCAAATCCGTTGGGAGCTGTGCAGAAATGAAAGGTGTTGACTCGTGCTAACCGTTCTCCTTGTCGTCCCTCTGAAGCCAACTCTTCTACGATGGGCACCAGACGCTCGCCGTCAGCCTCTCCAACATGGTCAAAGCTCATCCAGCTTGTCCGCCGTCTGACCGACTGCTCAACATCGTCAGTGCCGGGCTACGCACTGAGCAGGGTATGGTTGTTATAAATTTTCCACTGCTGCCTCTAGTGGTAGACACACACTTTGCTTTGTCTACCCTCCGTCCCACCTATAGTCACGGAGGACCAGGTGAGAGAGGCAGGGAGGAAGGTTACGTTGTCCCATTTCCAGCGCGAGTTTCCTACCTTCGACATGCTTCGGCGTCTTGTGCACCTTGAGCACACCCGTGCAGTCGAAGCAGGGCGGAAGGCATGGAGCATGTTCTGAAGGCCGGGCATTCAAAAGACGTACCCTGCCATTCTCATTCTGTTGGTGACTGTTGCAAGTGTGCGACGAGACAGTGGCGCCACGGTGCGGCTCCTAACAAAAGCATTTTGCATTGAACACTGCCGGACTGGCATAGACATCCCGTGTAGCAGCCAACCTTCGTTTCAAATGAATGTCAGCTTACCTGAGCACGGTGCCATACAAAACATTCGGGGCCACATTTCACTAACTTTTTTTACACGCGGCGCATAAATTGAGACCACAAATCGCCTCCATGCGCCGGCGAACACCGCCGCAATCACCTCAGTCTTGGTATGTCCACTCTACCTACCGGCGAGTGAAGACCACTCTGATAATAAGAGCACTGAAAAATACTTCTCTCATAAATTTTATCAATTACTGGCGCTTGTGAATGTCATCTCGTAGTGACTTCCGGACCGTCTAGCACGCAGACGCTTCGTGGCTTGGAGCTCGGATTCAATCCGAGCTTGAATCCGAGCTCCAAGCCACTCTTGCGGGTCAAACGGCATGGAAACACATGCGGAGCAACGGTGGACGCGGATGGGTTTTCGAATTTTGCCTTCACTCCAGAGACAGGTCGAGAAGCACAGCCGCGGGAGGGTGCAGACGCGGCCGAGACACTGCGGGCACATTAGAAAAGGTCAGAGCGGGTAGCGCTTCACTATGCGACGTGACGCGGATGCTGTTGTTGGGGGCCCTAATGACCAGCTTCTGAAAAAGAGCGGCGTGCCCCCTTTAGGTGTTGCACGCTCCCAATAAGATCCGAATTTAGGAGTTCTTGGCCCCAGCCTTGTGCCTGTAGTGCCTGGAACGTGTTCCTAACCGGTGTGTTTACGGCATCCTAAAAAGTGGTCCCTCGATTTCCGTCTTGACGTCATAAAAGTGTCCCGTCGTCGCCAGCCACGATCCTGGCGGTGTCGCAGTAGCGGTAGTGGACGTGGCAGACGCCATCTCTGCTGCAAGTCCCTCTCCAGCTTGACAGAACATGGAAGTTTCAGCAGCTGGGAGTCGAGATGCCTCAACGGCAGCGACACTCGCGTTCTCTCAAGCTTTTATTTTTTAGAGATTTTACTCCTAACCACCACTTTTGCGACACCCGACAGCATGACACTCCGGGGTTTAGGGACGTCATTTTTTGCTGCATCAATATCACTTGCGATGCATGGACGGAAAGGACGCTAAACAGACTGGTCGGATACGCAATCCGAACACAGTACCCACGTTTTAGACACTTTGTGTCTCTTTGGTTCTCCTTGGGAGGGTAATGGAAAAAATTATAGATGCGGAATTGCTGCAGATGGGCTCATAGCTTCGGCCACCAGTTGGAAGGTAAAATGAGCCGCCTCGGTGACTGTGAGGCAAATTGATGGCCTATGGGTCCCGAGTTGGCAGGTTCGAATCCCATCCCAGATGCCCGCAATCTGGCAGATGCTTATTGCGGAGAAGGTGCTGTGTAACCGAGATTTTGGTGGCATGTCAAATGATCCCAAGGGGGCGGAAAATAATCCCCAGTCCTCTGCTGGGACTGAAAATTTTCTTTTTTTTTCATATCAGTCTATAAAGATAAACATTTCTCTGTTTCTTGTTGTTGCTGTGGTGGTGATGCTTTCTGCTCTTTGTTTTGCCCAGAAACCAAAGGAATCAAGTTTTCAGCGCTGGACCAGCCTTACACAGGACCAGGAATCGATCTGGAGTATGAAACTGAAGGTAGGTCAATGGGGAGCATGTTGTAGCGTGCTGATTTGTTCTTTCTATTTTTATTTGGAAGCGATTTAAGCAGATGGTGCTTCGAAGCTGTGCTTGGTGTTTATCTTTGTTGGCTGCTTGGTGTCTATCTTTGTTGGCACGAGCTCGAAAACATTGTTACACATTTAGCAACCCTCTTGCTTTGATTGCAGCTCCATCCTTGGCACCAGAACCAGCACTGTACGAAACCTGTTACGTGACGTCGCACAAGGCGCAGTGCAGAGCCGGGACGTTCAGTCGTGACGGTGAGACTTGTGCCCTATTTTCTTTTTACGTGAGTAGGCTCCGGATCCTGATTCCCCACACATGTAGCACAATGACAATCGATTGCACAAGTCATTACTGGGGTAGGATGCACAGAACAAATATGAGGCTCTTCTAAAAGTTCCATGTCTAAATTGCTCTGTCAGCTTTGGATGTCATGGAGTCATTAGTTTGCCTCTAGAGTCACTGACAGCAGTAGCCAATGAGATTGCGGCATTAGCAAGCATAAACGCCGAAGAGTGAATCACGAAGCAAAAAGCATGAACATATTAAGCCGTGCCCTACATTACTTGATGACTATACAATATTTATGCGAGAACAGAACAACCCTTGATGAGAACAAGTAATCAACAAAATATGGGGGTGGCTGGTGCCTCGTTCAATCCAGCGATGAAGATTACACCATCAGTTCAAGCTCTGTTGACTAAAGATTTCATACTTCTTTTTTTGCTCCCCTTTCTGAAAGTGAACCACTTTGTTGCTCTCTAGTTTAATTCAATCTTGTGGGGGTGGGAGAAGGTAAACTGGGCAAGTATGACAAGTTTCCTATTGCAAGGGGCAAGAGGAGCCGTTTCTCTCCCTCTATTCAGGGGCCAAGAGCTGCTGGGGTTCGAAATTTTCGGTTTAAACCAATAAAAACCGATAACAGTACGCCGAATCCGTTTTCGGAAATTCGGCTTTAACCGAAAAAAGGTCAGTTTTTAGGTTCGACATTTTGGATTAATAAAGACCGATAAAAGCGTGTCGAATCCGTCTTCTAAAATTCAGTTTTAACCGGAAAAGGTCACTTTGACCTTCCAGTCGTACCGCAGAGCCGTGGCGAAAAAGTGGAATGACAGTGTCTATTGAAACGTGTCCGAATGTATGGGATACTAGGGTGCCATTACAACGTTTTGGTTTAATGTGCACATCATCGATCGGAATGTGAGGACCGAAATGCCCCGAGACTTCACCTAATACGAGCGTGTTTTCAAACTCGTTGTAAGGAACACTGACTTGATACAAGCTCTGCATGTTGTGTTGTGCTTCAAAACCTCACACCGTGTTTCTTTTGGTGGTCACAATTGATTGATTGGCTGATTTTGGCTCAGGCAGCGCTTCATCTCCTTCAGCCTACCAGTGTCCAGTGTTAGCGTTAAGAGGGCATTCTCGAAGCTCAGGGTCATATTAACAGGAAAGAGAGAGTGCACATCAACAAGGAGAACCTGGGAAAGTACATGTGTGTGTATTATAATAAGATGACGTAGGCCTGACGAACCGAGGGTGAAGTTCCACGATTTTGGGCATAGGCTTCATATCTGACTTGTGTGTACTTCTGTGTTTTTTTTCTTGTTTCTTTTACAGTTGCACATATTTGCCAAATAAAGTGTCCATTTCTTTGAGTGATCACAAATATCAGAGCTACAACGATCTTATGATCCAGTGTCCATCGGTGTGTATTTTATATTTACCGAAGAAAGGCGATAAACTTTTGTGGGCATAAATATATAGCGAAAAGGAAACGAAAATTGAGTTTTAAAATTAACACCGAAAAAAGTATGCCGAATTTTGGAAAAATAGAAACAGAAAACGGTGGAACCCTAGGTATACTCTGAACATTGGAGAAGCTGAAACTGGAATACAAAAAGCTTCATGCTTTTTGACATCTGGAGTTGGCACATATATATATTGTTTCCCATGTGAGATGACAGCAAAGCAGCAGCCGAATGGAAGGAATCACCAAAGCCAGGGAAAGGTGCTTCATGTTAACATTGGGGAGAGCCCAATTTTTTTGCTTCTTCTTTAATGCAGTTTTTAAGATTTCTATAGAATGGGTCTTTTTTGTTTTCTGGCTTAGGGACAAATGGGAGTGTAGAAATAACTGATGACAGCAGATAATCCTAAACATTGCATTTTAATTAATGTTCCTGGTTTCAAAACTCTTTTTTTGTTTGCCTATTGCAGGTCAGCTGGTTGCAACTGGTTCTGCTGATGCCTCTATAAAGGTGAAAGCACTGCCAATTTCGTTTTCTTTTTTCCTAACAAGTTTGAACTTGTGCCATGTAGAACTGTGTACCTTCACTTGATCTTTGATAATCTATCAAAATGTAGTATTCCTGGGCTTGGGGAGCTGTCATACCCTTACCACACTATGTTCTTCAGATGTTGGTAGAAAAAATCGTAAGGGTGCAGGTGAGCTGGTGAATATTAACCATGTTGAACTTAACCTGAGACTGGGGTAGAGAAGAAACATCAAAACGTAGAAGGTACAGAAAATGCCATTGAGACGTCGTCCTGTCTATTTTCTGTCCCTTCTACATTTTGATGTTTCTTCTCTACCCCAGTCTCAGGTTAAGTTCAACATGGTTCAGATGTTGGTTGACCTAGCTAAAAAATCCTTTCAAAATCAATTTTTTTTTCTGTGTTTTTTTTTTAGGCAAAACCTTTTAAGGAAACTCCCTAAGAAAGTTCCTCTCGCATAACTTGGACTTGAATTTTCTATTGGAAAGTCAATGATGACTTCTTTGCCCCCGATTCTTTGCACTCCCTGTGTGCCTTTCATGTCCATCATCCCCATACCTGCCAACTCTTCCGAAGTTTTCGTAAAATGTACGAATTGGGACTAATTTTACGATTTTACGAATCTTGCTTCAAATCTTACGAAAAATATATTTTTTTAATCTTTTTTTATTTTATTTTATTATTTGCTTTTGTTGTTTTTGTAACTTCGTTGTTGGCGATATCTTGTACCGCCACAAGAGGACGAAAGGTACCATTCACAGCAGCGTCGTGGTTTTTCCTATCCGTCTATCCGGTGGCGACGGATCGAAAACCAATCTGAAGTGCAAAGCCTTTTTTTGTGTGTTCGGCGGTGCACGGGTGCACGTTGGTTCAGCGTGTTCAGTCATTGATGGGCCTCGTGGCTTCGGCCAGTTTCGAGGCGAGTAGTACGGTGTCTTGTGTTTGTTGCACGTTAGAGCACTATATAGCTCCTACGGAGCAGAGTAGCGCAATCCTTTGATCCGCGTGTTTCGCCGACAACATGGCCGACAGAGCAGTTCGGCGCGAGTCACGTGGCAGTCAGGATTCCAGGAGGGGGCCCGCCCTATGGGCGAATGCATGGAGATCGAAGCAACACGGCTGATTGAAAAATAAACGCCGAGTTTACACTTTTCAAAACTAGTTTGTCGTGAAGCATGGCAAAGCACTAAACACTTTATCAAAATTTTAATAATATTGGATGCGTGTGAAAAGTTTGAGAAGCCAATTTCCAAGGCAATGGCGTTCGAAGCAGACGATTGTTTTACGCAGCGGAGATGGACTTTATGGATTGGTCGGAGCGGGTCACGTGAACGGTGTGACGTTGCCGCGTCGTGTGCTGCATGATGCCGCTCAGGCAATTTTTAAAAAAGAATTAGGTTATTAAATTGCACAAAACTTAGCGCAAATTATTGTAAACTGTTCCTTTATTATGTCAAAAATTATTGTCGTTCCGTACATCCCCAAAATATTCAAGAAACGGGGATTTTCTCACGTTCCCCATGCATTTGTGACCGGACTTGGAACCCTCGGGTGTTCGCCGCTAGTCGCCGAGAGATGGCGTTCTCGATTGCGCTACTCTGCTCCGAAGGAGCTATATAGTGCTCTATTGCACGTGTGAATTTAGCATTCTCCTGGTCACTGTGGCTTCGCGGCGCAATACCGAACTCCAAACCTCGAAAGAGGTACTTTCAGGTGTTGCCGAAGTCCTACACTTCGAAATATCCGTGGTTCGTGCCGCCCAAAAAGCGAGAGAAGTTTGGATTCTGTAGCGATGTAAGCGTTTCGCACGCTGGCCAGGCTGACATTAAGCTGCACATCGCTTCGCGTAACCCCCCCTTCCCTCCGCCCCGCCGCGGCTGCGGGACTTTTACGAATTTGAAAGTCCACAGGTTGGCAGGTATGCATCCCTCTTGTGGCTTTACGGAACAGATCTTGGACGTGGACCGCATGCTGGCCAAGAGTGCCATGCCTCCGGAGGTAGCTGCACAAGAGTCGGCTCAGCAAAACATGGAGACCCACCCGGTCATTCGTACCCTGTACGACCACATTGAGGTACAGTGGTGTTAAATAATATGTAAGTTCCTATACTGGGTTCCTAGGGGCATGGGCATTCCTCAGAGTACCCTCCTGGATTCCCTGAGCTCTTAAATTTCCTTGGCTGTGCCTGCCCCTAAGCAAAGTTTTTTTTTTTTTTTTTTTTTTTTTTTTTTAGTTTAAGCACTATATTAAAGCATGAAATGCTTTTTAACATAACTCTGCCAGTCCCAAACTTTTGTCTATACGTCCGTCTGTTTGTGTATTTTCCTCTAAATTTAGTGGGGAAATTGACGTCGCATGATCTGAACACCAGTTCAGTTTCTCCGCCAAATTTAGCGTGGAAACTGAATTAATGTATAGGTCACGTGACAGAAAATTGACATCATGTGATGTCAGTTTTCTTTCTAAATTTGGCGGGAAAATTGTCATGAGACCTAAACGCCGGTTTTGCGTCCCCATTGAATTTGGCGAAGAAATTGATGTCACATGACCTATACATCGATTGAGTTTGCCTGCTAAATTTGGTGAAGCATTTAATGTCACATGACCCAACTTCACATGATCTATACACCAATTTAATTAGTCCTGCCACCGGAAAAATTTACCCATACCATACTATAGATAGGATTCCGTGTTTTCGGAGTTTATTTCTTGTGAAATTCGGAGGGTGTTTTTTGGAGTTTATCTTTTGCTGGGGATTCGGGGTTTATAGGAGTTTATTTTTGTTATTTTCCCAATTCTTTGAAATTCAGAGTTTATTTTACTGCTTAAAATTTAAAAACAAAAATTGAAAAATAATATAAATATGGTGCGGGTGCCATCGCCTGTTGTCCCGAAGGAACCTCGACGTGCTAAAAGGCAAACCCCTTTTGTCAGTAGTTCTAAATTTCAAAAGAAACTGAAGTGGAATCTCCTCAGGACCACTGACCTTGTGCTTTTATAAAGTTTAGTTGTAAAACTCCGTCGTTTTTGCTGTTTATTTTGTCGCAGTGACCTCGAAATTCAGAGTTTTTCGGATAAATCCGAATTGGCGGAAAATTTACCGGCGAGTGTTTTTCGGATTTATCCGAAGACACGGAACCCTAACTATAGACTGTTTGTCTTCTTCTAAGCAATTGAAAACTATCGCTCCTTAAATACTGCCTTTTGTGCATTGTAGGACTTTAAGAGATAAATATTGCTGCCCAATGTTTTAGTGAATTTGGGATGCCCATTGATGTGCAACCATGAGCCAAATGCTGCCTAGTTTGTGCATTACTGTTTACAAGGTCTGTAGGCTTCTGCGCTGCTTTATTGCATCGGCACCTACACTAGGAGGCATTCCTTGGACATCAGTCAAGAGAGCTAGAGGTTTCTCAAGATGAAAAAGTTTGATGATTCTTGCATTAAAACATAGATTGACTGCAGCCAAAAGTATTGTTGTATTTGTTTAGTTTAACTGTAAGCATCTTTGAGGATTCTTGCTTTCGTATAAGTTTTAGGTGTTTTTTAGCAACAAACTTGCAACAACAATCTCAGTCTTTTTTATTTTCGTTTCTTTTTATGTTGTTTAAAGGGCCACTGTAAAGAAAAACAATTTTTTTTTTAAACAGTCTGGTTGAGACTTGCACGTCAAAAAATAAATTTTACGCAAAAAAAAGTTCTTTAGAGCAATATTGACGGCGCGAGATTTGTTTTAAATTCTGCGCGCAAAAGTCCATGTGGTCATACACTCTTTCCACCTCAACGTGAGGGTCATACACTCTCTCCACCTCAACGTGAGGGTCATACACTCTCTCCACCTTAACGTGATGGCCAAGCCGATTCACCTCTCTTTCACGCACCCAAAATGCCGAGACAGAAAACAAGTGGAAGGAGGTGACTACCGACTAAATCGCATCTCGCGCCGTCAATATTGCTCTAAAATAAACTTTCTTTTTTTTCATCTAAAATAAATTTTTTGGCACGCGTGTGCCAACTATACTGTTTAAAAAAAAAACTTTTTTAGAGCAATATGGCACGAGACGCAATTTAGTTGGTAGTCACCTCCTTTCCACTTGTTTTCTCTTGGCATTTCGGGCACGAGAAGGAGAGGTGGATCGGCTTCGCCTTCACGTTGAGGTCGAAAGAGCGAATGACTATTCCGTGACATCATGGACTTTGCGTGCAGAATTTCAAATAAATCTCTCACTGACAATATTGTACTAAATGAATTTTTTTTCGCATAAAATTTACTTTTTAACATGCGTGTCCCAACTAATCTGTTTAAAAAATCTTTTTTTTTCTTTTCAGTTGCTTTTTAAGGCAATGCTCATATACTGTGTATAGCTAACAGATGATTTCCAAGATACTTAGCTTGCTTGTTTATGAACTTTTAACATACAACTGAAACATAGCTTTGATAATAGCCAGTGTTGTTGATTCTAATGCTAGTGCCAGTCAGACTTCTAGTTGCGTGAAAATCGGTCTGCATAAACTTTCCGTGTTCTGTTAAAAAAAAAGTTGTGTAGAATAATGGCTATACATTGCCCAAATTTCATATAACCATGGAGTTTTATTCATGACTGAACAGACTTTACCTTCAAAAGATTGACTCTGCAACTAAACTTGGTTCAGCTGATATATCCATGAATTTTATGTGCAAGTGCCAATGCGGGTGCAAACGCAGTAATTATTTTGAGAAAACAAGATCAAACAACTCACTGCTCAATGCCTGTTTTCTTTTCCTCACCTTTTTTCAGGAGGTTACCTGCCTCGAGTTTCATCCAAGAGAACAGATCCTCGTTTCCGGCAGCAGAGACTACACAGTCAAGTTCTTCGACTACTCCAAGCCCTCTGTCAAGCGTGCCTTCAAGACAATTCATGTGAGTCAATTGGATTGCATCATTCCCTTCTCAGCCTTCAGCATTTTTTTCTTGACATTCTGCTTGTATGTTTGTCAACATTCTAAAAACTTTAACAAACCTTTTTATTTTCACAAAAAAAAAAAAAAATTAATGTTTTAGTTATTTTTTTAAAGTGTCATTTATCCAACAATATTTTCATGTATCATTGCCCTCACAAAGTGCATATGATTGTAAGAAGGAATATATGGAAGCATTTATCCACAACCACTCTTGTTAGGCACTCAAGTTCGTATATGTCACTCCCACATGCAAGACAACACGTCCGTAGAGAAGCACCCAGGTTGGGCGGCATGTATTCATTGTTCACACAAGCCTTCATTGCCACATCCTTGAGTGCATTCGTCAATAAGGAGGTGCTGGTGCTTAGCTGAAATTGTATTGCTGTACTTATTTTTGGTTCCCATCCACTACAGTGTCGGTGTTAAAAAACTGCATGTCAGCTAAGTAACTACAAATAGCATAACAAGCACTTTTATTTTTTTGTAGCAAGGTGCTATATTTAGGGACAACTTTTTCTGGTATTCAAGTCAAAGCTATGAGTACCCGCACACTCACGCACGTTGAGCGTCGATCACAGCTGTGCACACGTAATCTTCACTCCTCTGAAAGGCCAGAAAGAGTTGTCTCCAAGTATAGCACATGAGCTTCAAGTAGCAAAATCTGACTCCACCACCAGAACCTTTTTCGTGGAAGCAGTATGAATTGCTGAAGCAACCAAGGTGCTTATGTGGGATTGGTTCATGTTCGGATTTGTGTGTTCCCGAGACTGGCGAGGCTGTTGCAACATGGCAGACAAACAGCCACTTATAAAAGTGGGTCACTTTGTTCCCTTCACTACTGTGTATACTTTCCCATTGACTGATGAATACATCACTTGCAATACTGGTACCCATTCTAGCTTGCATTGCGACCAACTTATTCTGAGTGGCAGGCACGCTTGTCTCAAATGTGGGTGCAAACTTCCTGCAGGAAGCTGAGATGGTTCGCACCCTGGCATTCCACCCCTCGGGCGACTTCATTCTTGTGGGAACCCAGCACCCAACATGTAAGCATGTCCTCCCCGTGATGATGTAAAGAGTAGTCCTCGATGTGCTGGCATTAATCCTATATACTTGGATCATTTTTAAGATAGTACCTCATGTGCTGCCCACGTGCACTGCGCAATGAAGCTGGTTCATTGAAGTGAGGCTTCAGACGTAGGATCTCTGCTCTGCCACTTCTCTATGCTTTGTGCCACATTGCAGTGGACCACAGCAAATGCTACGAGCCAATAAAGCCAACCTAATTAAGGTGATCATAATCTAAAGTGCAGAATGCTGGACATCAGTGGGGGTCTGTCTCTCGCTCCGGTAGCCGGGCCAGAAATAAAAGCAAGCTCTGCTAGTATTCAGCTCACTGTACAAATGCGCACTTTTTCGAAGTCCTTTGTTTAGTCGAGTACAGAAGCACCTTTCTTTTCAATTTTTAAACAAAGCTGAGGCATGCGAAATATAGAATAAAATACTGCAGAAGCACCCAGTTCGTACAAGCGCCTGCTATTAACATTTCCCAAACTTAGGAATTCTACAAATTATATATGAAGTTCCCACTCTTTCTAAAGTGCTGGCATCAGTCGAGAATATTCACACTGTTGTGGCAGCCATGAGACGCCTAGCGGCGGTGACGGGGATATCGTGTGAAAATAAATCTGCTTTCTCTGATTTCGTTCACTCTGCCTTCAAGGCCCTTTAGTAGCTGGCATCTTGGTTTTTACCGATGTGACCGGACAAACACACATGTCTACAATAACCCAGTTTTCAATGAAAGTGAGGTGGGCACTTTCTCTGGGGGAGGGGGGGAGGGGGGAGGGGGGAGGGGGAGGGAGGGAAGGAGGGGGGGGAGGGGGAGGGGGGGTAGTTTACGGTAATAAAATATAAAAAGTGCTCTGAACAAACTTCTGTGCAAACAGAACGTATTGACAGATGAAACCAAAGAAAGAGCTCTAAATTTACCTTATGGGAGGTAACATTTTTATTGTATGTTTATTTTTATAAAATGTATTACATATTTTTTTTTTATTTCTTCCAGTCACTTAGCACTCATTTTGCAACTATGCACATACGTTTCCACAAAAACAGGATGTGAGGGTTCATTGAGACAAAATGACTGGAAGGCAGAGCTGCACCTCTAAAACGGGACGTCTGGTCACCCTAAATCTAATGCCATGCAAGTGTCATATGCCGTTCTAAACGGGCGCAATGACGTGCAGGGCGCCAAGTCCCGCGATATGCTCGTATCACTGCATTGGCTAGGATGAGACGACTCGTGGTGTTCGCTGTGGTCTGTTGTAAGGTGAAACGAAGTTTAGAGAGTATCCTCGTGTTTGTCCCGCACAGAGCGGTGGTTGCATGGGTCCTGTCCTTTATCGTATTGATCGCATAAACATCATTCACATAATCTCTGCTTTGGAATTACCTAAGAAGCATAACTTTATTAGCGTGCAACATCCACAGTATGTAAACATTGGCAATGATAAAAGAAAACCGACTTTGGCTTTTCCGCAGTGCGACTGTACGACGTCAACACAACCCAGTGCTTCGTTTCTTCGGTGCCGTCGGACCAACACAAGGGCCCCATAACTACGGCAAGCTTTGTCTTTTTTCATCATTGTTTTTATTATAAGTATCTTGTCTTCAGTGCTTTCGGGATATTGCAAGCATCGGTGAAGTAGAAAACTCTACATCTCTAATGAAAATCAAAATTTCTAGCACATGCTCTTTTTTTGCACATGCTGCACATCAGAGGCCAAAACGTTGTTGAGTAAAGTAGCAGGCTTGTGTTAGCATGATTTTTTCAAACTAAACTGCAACTTTTTAACAATTTGCTGACAGAAATTGCGCAACAGTGTAACGCCTAGTAAGTGCAACGCCATGGTCTGGGAGAGGAAATTTGCCTTCGGGCAAGCTCAGTCCAATTCGAAAATGTCATTGTACTCATCATTGATTGCACAACCACTATTTGCACTTCGTTATAGATTGTGCTGCAATACCATTTCGGCTATAGCCACTGGCATGACGAGAATGGCGGGGCGTTTCTCTTGGGTGCCTGGATTCCAGCACGCGCTCGGTTTCCTTTGTCGCACTTTGACTGCGCATGCACACTGGAGGCTCATGAGATGCCGAAGCGTCATCGAAGGTGCGAAGCACGCGCTGGAGCCGGGTCCACTGAAAGACCACCCTCCTATTCTCATCTCCTCAGTGACTGTAGTAAATGAGCTTCTCGTTGAGAAGCTTCAGTGCTACGATTAGTTGAAGTGCATCCCTTTTAGTTTTAATTTGAGAAGCATCGACGAAAATCTTGTGGCGATGAGAATGTGACACCGGTTGAAAGCAGAAAATACCATTTGCTTAAAGCTTATTGCCGACAGTTTGGTGAACAGGCTATTTTTTTTTTTTTTGTGCTTCAATGACTGCTTTTTTGCATAAGCTCAAAGACTTTGCGACACTGTAACTTTATGTAACCGATATGTATTTCCCTGCGAGGTATGCTGAGAACCTGTGTCACTTTCTAAATAAAGTTTCAAATTTTCTTTCGCTTGGCTGTTGTGTCACCTTTTGTCGAACATGTTTTTCTTAAGACCACCAAACATGTCGGTCGTGGCAGAAAAGCCTCCGAAATAAACACCAAAAATTACCTGCATACTTTTTTTTAACGCAGAATTTGCTATATGGGTGGCACCTAACCATATCCGTTGAGTGAGGAGACGAACGCTGATGCATCGCTCGTCTCCTCACTGATTAGACACCAGTGTCAGCCAAAGCCTCTTGCTAAAATTCCTCCGCGTTACTCCCGACAGAGGTAAAACATCACATGTTCAGACATACAGCGGCACCCCGCTCCGTGAGACAAACACCATACCGCGAGCTAGTGCCAGGGCTTAGCTCGGCGTTGCCTAGTTCCAATTGTTCCTTTTTCCGCAAGCTTCGTCTACTGCGTCTCACACTCCAACATGCTCTGAGAAAGTCTCATTTACACCGCAACCACAGAAGACGGCTGGCACCACAAGTAAGACATCCACGGCGCGCTCACGGACTTACTTTGCGCAACACAGGGCCGCTTCGCGCCGTCCAGTCTCCGCATTTGTACGCAGTTTTTCTGCACTTATGCATCACCTTCTGTATTACCACTGCCTTTGCCACGCTAGTACAGCAAAGGGGCGACTTTCTTTGCATAGAGCTACGTCTTTTCCGCGCTTGGAAGGGGGCGCAAAGTTGGGAGGTCGATGTCACGAGAACTTGGTCACAGAAGTGACATCACACAGACCACCACCTGCTGCCGAGAACCGCACAGTGCGCACGCACGTCCTTTCTTATCTGCTGGCTTGCTCGTTTGCTCGCTTCAACGAGACGCGCTCCTGCCTGATTGCATCGGCGATAGACGCCGCTCCGGCAGCCATGATTCCACAATCTTCGCTCATCGCTCTGAACAGCGGCCGAGCTCGCGTGTTCTGCGGCACGGGCAGTTTACGGGACTCTCCCGCGTGACTCAGCGAAGCTTTAAAAGCAATCGCACACAATTCCACATATGCGCCTCGGAGTTGGCGGTGCAGACGGCTGCACATTTGCCTCTGCCGGACTCCAAGCGACGAGCATTCGCTTCTTGCGCACCCGACATCATCATGCTGCAGGAGCCCGTGGACGTTTCTTCAGCTGCGGCCGTAGTTCTTGGGAAATTTATGGGGAATAGTAATTGTACGCATCAACCAATGTTTTTTTTTTTCAGCACTTAGCGGTGGAAAATTTCTAGTCTCCTCCGCATTGAATTCTCGTGTTTTTTCTCCTTTTTTGCATTTCCACTGCCAGGTCCGCTACAACAACTCGGGCAAGCTCTATGTGTCATCGTCCAAGGACGGAGACATGAAGCTGTGGGACGGAGTAAGCAACAAATGCATCTGCACGTTCCCCCAGGCGCACGATGGGAACGAAGTCTGCTCAGTCTACTTCTCCCACAACGGCAAGGTGGGTGGCACTCGGACATACACTGCACGGCACTGTTAGCACAAACACAACATCGGAGCTGGTTTCGCAATTACCTACCAAATTTTACAACTTTGGTTAGTGCCCCAAGTTAGCATTTTCTATCACACTAGTAGTTTGGATCGCAAACTTTTCATTCTAAGAGAAAAGGAGAAAAAACTGGCAACTGCTTGTTCGCGTTAACATCAATTATAAAATCACGAAACAACGCCCACCCAAAATGAAGAGATAAATGGTGAAAAATATGGGGTGGGCAATCTTTGGGAATGTGAGAGCAAAGTTTTATGAAAAAATTAGTGATAAGCATCGGGTCCCCTCTACAAACTGCGTGAAACGAGAACTGATATCACAAATCGCAGACACTGCAAATTCATGTTTTACGGTGCAATAAATACTCAGGATTTTGCTACAAACTCCCTATCATGAGAACATATCCTGCACAATGCAAACGCAGCAGATTCACACTTCACGGTGCGATAAACATGCGAGAAGTCATGCAAACTAGGGCTTCACGGTAACCAATATCCCATGTGCAGATTGCAGACAAAAGTCTGGAAACTCGCTACAAACTCTCATGTCATTGGGACAGATTCTGTGGATAGCGGATGCATCAGATTCACGTTTCATGCAGGGACGCCGGAAGTATATCGTGAGTGGGGGGGCTAAAGCCATGTTCCTTTTTGTCGTTTTTTGTATGATGTACTTTTTTTTTTTTTTTTAAGAATTTAAATATTACGATCTGAGTTTCGTTTGAGAGAAAACACTATCCTATAGCGGGTTTGTTTTTGTTCCTTTCACTAGGTCCTGTGCGGTTTCTATTTTCTGCATGAGAAAACAATTTTCTTACGCAGTGGTCCTAATTGCTAAATACTGTATATCATCAAGAAGGAACTGTACATAACAAGTTTTCAGAGATCACTTCTTTATTGATGCTCTACAAATTCATATTATGGCAAGATGGTATTTTCTCTGTTTATATATACAGGGGCGCAAAAAAGGATTGCATGTAGGTAACGATAGGAAAGCGAGGAAACAAGCAGTGTGATTGAATTGACGCATTTACACAAACGGAACTCATGATGAGCTAAGAAGAACTGCGGAATATCTTACCTTGAGAATCTCCGCTTCCTAGGAATGTACGCTTTGGGGCTGGTAGGAAGAAGCTGGTGATCTTCTTTGGATGGCCAGACATTGCTTGTAATGCTGGAGTCGAAGAGACACTGCCTGACGCTGACTGCATACGCCTCTGACGGGTTGCCGTTGGACCCTCCCGGTGTCGTTGGGAGGGTAGGATCAGCCCCGATGATCTTGGAGCTTGGTGGGGGGCACGTTGTTGAATGATGCTCTGACTCGCTGCTTCTCGTAAACTTCAACGTTTATCTAAACGCATTCAACTTGGACGACCACCTCTCTGGTTCCGAGTCTAAGACGAACTCCGCTAATTTAATTTCTCGCTTTTCGCATCACAACTCTAACTTTCCCTCGCTCTCGAAGGAAGAGCCAATAATTTCAAACCTGAAGATCATCACGTGCTCTCGACCGGACCAGTCGTCGGCAAGGACATCTTGAGACCTTCCTAAACGAAAACAACCGTCAAAGCTCGTCAAATATGACAGAAAGCGTCTGGTCCGAGGCGACAATCTGGCGCCACACATGTCTCGTCGCAGTATCCCCCACGCTACGACAACAGCAACACCAACAAAACTATAATCCCTGGGCTCTAGAGGCCCCCATACTAAGCCCCAGTTGGCCCCCGCGCGCCACTCCCCGGCCTTGCCACGGGCAGATCGGGTCCAGCTTGCTCTAAACCCTCGTAGCCGCCGTGCTAATGGACGACGGACATTGGATTAAAAAAAAAAAAAGCGCGCTCCCGAAATTAATTGTTCTTGTCTAAAATCTCTACGTGCGACAAGACTGTGCCTTGCTGCTCCGTGGCTTGCACCTAACATGGACGCACGTGATGCCTTCGTGACGAGCGCCTGGCTGGCGTTATATCCCCGAACTATTCTTATGAGGGCAAGGGGGCTGAGCCCCCCCATAAGAATACTTGGGGGGGCTCTGGCCCCCCCTGCCCCCCCTCTTCCGGCGTCCCTGGTTTCATGGTGCGAAAGACTCTTGGGAAACCGCTACAAATTTGCGTATCATGGGAATGGATATCGAGCAACCAGATCGCAGACCAAAAAATGTGGGAACCACCTACGAACTCGCATGTCACAGGAATGTCACGGGAGCAGATTTGCATATCACGGTGCGGTGCACACAAGAGAACTTGCTGCAAACACGCTTGTCACTGGTACTGCAGATTGTGTGGTTAATGTGTTAACCTCCCCGCACTGCCGGCCGCGCAAAGTGCCGCCGGCAGTGCGGGGAGGGTAAAGGGGGGGGGGGGGGGAGGGGGGAGGGGGAGGGGGAGGGGGAGGGGGGGGGGGGAAGAGTGCTCGGCCGAGGAGAAGCGCAAAACAAACAGACACGACGAACCGGCACCGCACAGCAGTACTCTCCGCAGGCGGTGAGTGGCAGAGAGCAGAAAGCCAAAAATACTTTTTTCTTCCCCACTTTTTTTTTTTTAGGGCAATTTGGTTTTTGTTTTATCACCGTGGCGTGGCGTTACTCCCAGGGCCGCGAAGTTAGAGAGCCTACGCGAAGTGCGTTCTGTCGGCAAGCGATATCGTGCCGCATTACAAACTACCCCCCCCCCCGCCCCCCCCCCGCCGCTGCATGGTGGTTATGTCCACCCCTAAAATATTCCTGGGAAAGCCCTGCTGAGAAGCATAAATTAAGACAAAACAATACAGTAAACTTTTACTTGAGCGAACTTTAAGGGACCCAAGGAAATAGTTCACTTAGCTGAAAGTTCACTAAACTGAATATATTCACTAGAATACGGAATAGCATAGGGCACAGCATACATAGAGTAAAAAGTGTGAAATGCAATTTATGGAGTCACGTACATCTATATAAACAAAGTGCATAACAGTTACATTGCTGCCTTTCTTACTTTGAAAAAAAAAAATTTTTAATTTTCATTTGCACCGGCGCTCTTAAAGTGCATGAAGTAAAAAAGCTGTCCAGAGAGTCTGTTTTTTTGCACTTCCTCTGGCACAGCTTGTTGCTGTGACGAAGCCATATCACAGTGGCATCATCCACTGGCTTGCAATATCCCGTGCAGTCGTTTCCTGTTGGGATTAGACACAGTTCCTTCTTCAAGCTTCGACTTTTGCTTCACTATCGTTGACAATGTCGATGTTGGAATCCTATAGTCCTTCGCAACGTCCACTTGCCTTTGACCATTGTCCAGACGCTGAAGGGTTTTGAGCTTGTCTGAAAGAGACAACCGCTTCCGTTTCGTTGTACTCATTACGAAAGTGGGTGTACAAACTGCCATCCTGCCGTTGTTACCGAAAACTAAGATGGCCGAACGGAACCGATGACAAAAAAAAACAGACACACCACGTGGTTCGTTTTCGTGCACCGCACCGCCGCTTTGTCTCAGCAGCGCTGTAAATGCCAGCGATGATATGCCGCCGCTGCAGAGGCGGCGGGGCAGCGGGCATCAGCTACGCCAGCACTGCAGGGCACGAAATTTCGTTGAACTGATTCCAAAAATAACCCTGGATCCACCGATCAAGTTCGTTGAACTGAAATATTCGCTATTCCGAAATTCGTTTTTCGTTTAATTGAAACATTTTTGCATAGAATACATAGGAAAACCACCGGGGATTTTTTTAAAGTTTGTTATTCTGAAATATTTGTGAAACCGACGTTCGCTCAACTGAGAGTTTACCATACTCATTATTCAAAGAAAACAAAACAAAACAAAATATATATATGATAGCACATTTAAGAGCAGAGCTACATTCCGAGCATAAATGAAGCGATGACATGAGACCAATATTTATGACGCATATAGCGCTCGAATGTGGGAACGAGAGTTTGCAGCTGCTTGATGCTTGGGGACCGCGTCCCAGCGAGTAGCGGGCAGGCAGCATGCCGCCCGCAGGCAGCGGGTTTGAGATTTTGCTCTATGGTATACACAGGTTTTGAAGCACAGCGTCTAGATGGCACTTTATTGCAGCATCTCCAACGAATACAGTTTTGAATCCCAGCCTCTGGATGGAGCTTCGAACTACAGATTTTCGGGGAAGGAAGAGGGCTTTGCTTTTCCGTCGGAGTTCCACAACTGAGTTGACCTAGTAGCGTTGGCGACGACTGTAACTGTGGTGCCATCCCTAGATAGGTGCAGCGTGCAGACGACACACTCATTCATCTGCTTGCTGCGCTTATCGGGAGGTGGTGCAACAAGTTGCACGGCTACGGTGGCAAGCTTTCAGGGCCAAAATGGAGATCACTATTGGCGCTTTCAAAGTTGTGCATCTAGGCCTTTTTGCATTGCATTGCTACTCTGGCAGCTAAAGCTGCAATGTACAGTGGTTTTAGCTTTCTTTGGGTAGGAGGGAAGAAAAGTCACGAGCAACACTGTTTGCGGCAGGGAATATGGACCCTAGCTCATCTGTCTCCATTCAGCAATGCATCGAAAGCGTAAGACCTTCGAGATCTAGTGGCTATCGCAGCCACGCCATTCAAGTTTCTGGAATAAAAAGATGCTGGTGACAAGGGAGCATTAGGGGATTATTTTTAAGCCTAAAACGTTGAGGTGAAATCAGTTGCCATTTAGGTAAAAGTTACACAAAAAATACGAAGCTAACTAAATGAATTTGATAAAATTTGACGACAGGTTAGAGAGCCCACCCTGTATGCTAACAGTATACTAAAGTAGTTATGTCTAAAAGTGTGGGGTGTATATGACAAATAGAAAGATGTAAATAATAATTTGTGTGTTTTTAAAAAAACTTAGATTAGCTTGGATAATTAGCAAAAATTAATCATTTTGTAGCTTTCAACTCAAACACCTGCGTAACAGCTGGATGTATTGTTTTTGGACTTGACTGTTTACAGCTCCTTCAACATTTGTTACGGAGCGTCCCGTCGCAACTATATTTTTTGTCATTAAAATTGTGTTTCATGCAGAACAAAATTGTCGAAGCAAAAATATATCCTCTTGCCTTTCGCTGTGTCCTTTCGTCGTGCTCAGTCGAAATCGATGCCATCGGTTACTGCTTCTTTGTGTTGGGATGTCCAGTATGTGCTGTCCAGTGGCAAGGACTCCATTGTGAAGCTGTGGGAGCTGTCCATGTCCCGGTGCCTGATTGCCTACACTGGGGCAGGAGCCACAGGCAAGCAGGTCCACCGTGCCCAGGGCATCTTCAACCACTCGGAAGACTATGGTGAGTGATGCCGCCTGCCTGGCATCACCAAAATGGCACTGCATCTTTGACAACTTACTTTCTGTAGTTGCCGACAGGATTAGAACGGCAGGAAGTCCTTCCGTTGTCCCGCCTCTAGCACGAGCTTTCCCTACTTTCGACGGTGCTTCGGCGTCTCTGGAGTCTCGAGTGTGCACGCACAGCCGAAGCACATCGGAAGGCGATGAAGCACAGTGGAAGGCTAGGCCTTAGTCCCTAGTCTTCTGGGGCTCAAAAGCAAACTGACTGCTTTGTTTTTGTGTCCAGGCTTGAAATTGCCCACTGCCTCGTCCTAATTGCAGGGTAGCCAATTCATTTTTCAGTAGTGATTCTTTTGCAGAATGAATCTCAGTTTGTACATTGATACTCTAAAATGCTGTCAGCCATCGTTGTGTGCAGCATTTGCACACTCGGCGCAGGCTCGAATCCTTTGCAAAAGTGGAAAGTTTACACGTGTCGGTTTTTTTTATTTTTGCAAACTGCGATGTGGATTTGGAAGGCTCTAAAATTTTACGCTTTTAAATTTTTGGGTGGTGGATGGTTGTGGCTTCGTCAATACATCGACTGTTAAGTTTATTGCGTCGTTAGTGCTTATTTCATCTTAATGAGGTTTTGTTCTCAGTCATGAGTGTTTTTTAATAACCGTTGTGGCATAAAAGTTGGGACGAGAAAGGAAGGTGCCCTTGACTAATTTCTTGCCTGACAGACGTTTGATGAACAGGCTATGCAACGAGCTTTCAGATTCAAACTTGTCCGTTCAGAGCGTCTCCTGAGTCTGAGCAGTCTCAAAAATTTGTGACAACAAGTGTGCTACACCAGGAGGGCTAGCTTGGAAATTTGCATGTACATTTTAAAAAGTCATGGAAGTGACATATTGGCGTCTGATTGGTAGAGGCGACTGCCTCCACCAATCAGACTCTAGAACGTCACCAAGGTAACCTTTTAAAATTTACATGTAGATGTCCAACTTAGGTACCCAATTGTTACATGCGACTCAGAAGAATGCCAGTAAGAAACATGGTTTCTCTCTTCTCGACTGCTTTAGTCCTCTTCCCGGACGAAAAAACTACGAGCCTGTGCAGCTGGGATTCCAGGAATGCGGAACGCCAGAGACTGCTGTCACTCGGTGAGTGGTTGCACAGCATACGCAGACGTCAAGCCTCGTGGTCATTGCGTCGGGACATTTGGTCAAACATTATAATGGCAGACGTGTGACCGACTCCAAGCCTTCGTTATGGCACTACATTTGGTTTATGTGAAGTTTCACTTCCCCAGTCTAGAATGAATGAGCCATATACAGTTATTGACTTATGTTCTGCAGGGCTTTAAGTGTCACAACAGTATTCTTCGGTAGATAACGATTGTGAAAAATTCATATCATGAATGTGTTTGGCACACTATAGCCTTCATTGCTGCTGTGCCAATGAACTCCTAATCATCATTATCATGAATGTGTCGCCCACATTACTTTGCACGTGGAGCCTAAGGAACCAGTGGTGTGCCAGGAATTTTTTTCAGGGGGTGGTGGGGCTGAGGTGGCTGAGATGTCCATGACCTGGGATGCGAAGTGGGAAAAAGGGGTTCAAAACGCAAGTGTATATTATAGGGTCGGCTGAATTTCGGGGGGGGAGAGGGCTGGAGCCCCACAAGTTTCCTGGTCCCTGGCTATGCCTCTGCATGGAACAGTTCAGGGCCCTGATCATGGGTCAAACTTTATTAGAGTGCTTTTATAAGCCACTGTTAGTTTTATTTTGTTTGTGTATATCTTTGAATACTAAAAGGCCTCCAATTATAACACTACTTTTTTTCATTGCATGTAGAGCGCTTACTTGCAGTAGGTTGTTCTCCTATGCACCTTGGTTCTCTCTGGGGGCTATGGGTGATAGAGTGTGTTGATGCACCGCAGCTTGAATCGCATGGAACGAAAGCTTACGCTGCAGAACCTAGAAGTCCCGGGTTCAATCCCTGCCTGTTTCAACCTAAATGAGCATCGTACAGGCGTGCAGTCATGTATCACTGCTTTGCGATGCACGTTAACCCTTTGAGGGCCACGCTCGAGTGTACTCAGGCACATTCCCGTGTGGTTTCAGTTTCTGTTTGCTCTTTGCCCCTCCCAAGTAAGCTGTTATCTTTTCTTTCTTTTTTTTCTTTTTTTTACACATAGCATTATGATTGAGCAAGCGATGAAAACAGTGTTTTATCCTGTGGTAGTTATTTTGGGTGGCAGGTATATTTTTTTGTTTATGCAACTTCTGTTTCAATATTATACCTTTGTTGTTACAGGACGATGAAGCTAAGCATTCAACCTCGTGCTTCAAGACAAACACGGTTCTAGAAATTACTACTGAAGTTAGTATCCAGTGACCGTAAAAAAAGAAATTTACAGTTCCGAACAAACAAAGATTGAATAAAGCTGCTCAAATGAGTGACCTCGGGGTGCGAAATTGAGGCGCCACCGCATAGTACCGCGTCTCGAAAAGTGCAATACGAGAAATATGTTCATAGGTTGGTGGCAGACAGACATCGATTAACTTTTTGCCCATAAAATAGTGTCTTTTATAAATAAATATTTTTCGCAGAGCATGCTGCATTGTTGCCGAGACCAAAATTTACGTTCGGCATCCGAAGGGTCGAAGACCCCCGGGCTGGCAGTGGTACTGCACCGGCTAAGCATCTCACCTACAGCCGAGACACCAGACGCCCATTGGGGCTGACTAACTTCCCAATAGTCTAGACATGCACGGGACACAATTGCACTTTACCCTCTCTCTGCATTTACGAAATGTCTCACCGCGAGGGGAAGCGGTCACAAAGTCTGATGGAGTGCTCTGTGCGCAGGCCACAACAACACGGTGCGACACTTGGTCCACTCCCCAACGGGCCCGGCCTTCCTGACCTGCAGCGACGATTTCAGGGCACGCTTCTGGTACCGCAGGGTCGAGGCGGTCGACTAGGTTCGTCGTCACCACTTCGGTTGCATCCCTTTACTTCCAGACTGCACTTGCACCACCAGTCGCATTCATTGTACCGTCTTCATGGATTTAATAAACTGTGTTCCAGGAATGGGCAAAATACTTTTGCAAATGTATTTAAATACAAATACTTTTACAAAAAGGTGACAAAGCTTGCCCAAAACATTGGACCTTTATAATGAAGAGGAATGAAGTCAAAATCAAAACCTAAGAACGTATTTGGTAATATCAATTCTTAAAAAAAAAAAGAAAAAAAAAACTGTGCAGAGTTTAAAAAAAAGACCCGCGTAATTTTGGTTTCTTCCCCTTCAAGGGATACTTCAAAGAAATTTTAAGTATACCCGTCGTGTTCAGAAGTGGGCTGAATATGACCCACAATATCCATAGATGACAATCACACATTTATATTTTGAGTCCGATGGCTGTATTTTTCGGTATAAACGGCCCACTCTGGCAAGCGCTCGGAGAGCAGCCAGCATAGAGCACATGACATCCGGCGCAGTCGTAACATAGATTGTCTTGGGATGAGCAAAGCTGCGGTGAGGCTGACATCAACAGAATGTCCTAGCCGTTGTAGCCACCGAAGCGGCCGAAGCACGCCAGCGATCGTGCTACCAATGCTGCTTTTGTACAAATTTGGAGTGACGGGTTAATCTTCTATAATCTTCTAGAGGGACAGTAGCGACGTCTGGTACACATAAAAGAGAGTCCCGGTGAGAGGGGAGTTCCTCCTTACCCTCTTCTCTCATGGCAGCCGGAGGTGAGACGGGCATCGTCACTACTTGTCAAGGTTCCTAGATGGGCATAACTAACGAGGCTTTAGTGGCATCCACCGGGTGCTTTTTGCTATTCAGTTAATTTGTTCTAAATTTCTTTTCGAGTCTTTTTTAACGAGAGATTGGTGTGCCTGATGTGATACTGCTCACTTGAACACAAATAGACCAAGAAGTCAGCGCCGAAATTTCGTAGTATCCTATTAAAGGGATACTTCAACAAAATTTGAAATATTCCAGTCGTGTTCAAAAATAGGTTGAATATGATCCACAATATCCGTAAATGACAATCGCACGTTTGTATTTTGAGCCTGGTGGCTGTATTTTTCGTTATAAACGGCCCACTCTGGCAAGCGCTCGGAGAAGGCCCAGCTTAGAGCACGTGACATCCAACGCAATCGTGACGTAGGTCGTCTCAAGACGAGCAAAGCTACGGCGAGGCTGACATCTAGAGGATGGCCTAGTCGTTCCAGCCACCGAAGCGGCTGCTTTTGTACGAATTTTGAGTGACGGGTTAATCTTCTATAATCTTCTAGGGGGACAATAGCGACTTCTGCGAGACACAAAAGGGATTCTCGGGAAGAGGGGAGTTCCTCCTGCCCCCCTTCTCTCGTCGTGGCCGGAGACGAGACAACCTCCGTCACTAGCTGTCAAGGTGCCTAGACGAGCATTACAAACGAGGCGTTAGCGACATCCACCAGGTGCTCTTTGCTAGTCGTTTAATTTGTTTTAAAATTCCTTTTCGAGACTTTTTTAACAAGATATTGGTATGTTCCATGTGATTCTGCTCTTTTGAACAGATATAGACCAAAAAATGAGTTTTCGTTTTTCGTTTTAGTATCCCTTTAATTTTCGTTTTAGTATCCCTTTAAGGGAGGACACTACCCAAGAGGTTCAACTTTTGAACCTTAGGCTTAATATGAATGAAATTTACAGTATATACTGGGAGTTGCAAGACAGAATGCAGGGCAAAGTTCCATCTGTGTACACAGATTTGTGAAAGGAATTATGTTTTTTTTTTTTTTTATCAGGAACACACTGACATTGTTTAAGAAAATTATCGTTAATACACTAATGCAATACCCAACATTTTTTTTTCACTGGATACACAGTAGAGTGCCTGGAGAGTGCAACTGTAAAAACTAAGTTTACAAAAAATAATTTATTTTATGCTAACATCGCGCTGAAAAATCATATTTCTTGCCTTTTACCTTGTCGTCAGAATTAGCATCTTTTATAATAGACATCTACAAATTAAAAATACAATGCCAAAGCTGCATTTCCCACTAAATTCCACTTAAGAAAACAATGAGTGAGCCTTTCCTTTTGTCCAGTTACCAAATGAGTTTTCCTAAAGTGAAATTTATGCCATAAAAGTGGAACGGAGAAAAATGTGTTCAAACTGCTCGAACCTCTACCTTTGCTTTAGCTTCAGTGGACCGAAAATAATTTATAAAAAAATAACTATGCTGCATAAACAAATGACTGTCTGTAAATACTTACTATTGTTGGTGACAGGTCAAGAACAAAGTATAAGCTCCTCCCACCTCTTTCCACTTTAGTAGTGCAAACGCTGGAGAGGAGGCGACCTCCTCTCCACCGTTCGCTCTGCTGAAGTGGAAAGGGGTGGGAGGAGCTTCCACTTCATTCTTGACCTGCCACCGACTATAGATGTTGATAGATGTAAATATGGCATTTTTCAAAATCAACTTTTTTTGCAGAAATCTTTTTTGGGGTAGTAATTTCTGCGTAGTTAATAACTCGTGTGTAACATCAAAATTATCCTAACAGAAAGGCCACAAAAAGTGATGACAGTACAAGATCTAACAGCCTAAAGGAAAACAATAAAGGAAGCCACTTGAGATCACAATTTATTACAAAAAGTCAGCCAACCATGCGTCATTTCTGGAATCAAGTGCAATAGGGCTGTTTATTTTTAAACGGAATGTGTGTGGACCATGCATAAGCTTGCAAAACCATGCAGCTTAGAAGTTATTAGCAATCACAGAGCATACCTATGTCAATATCATCACAGTCAAAGGAGGCAAATTCGAAAAAGGTCTGTCTAGGGACGACCTTGCAACCCGCCATACCATCTTTGGGCATGAGTTGCACAAAATTTCTGTTCTTTGCACACAGACACAGTATGCCTACAAAATGTGAATTAAACAACATGTAGGAGCACAAACTGGTTTCATTGTACTGAATGAAATATTTAAAAGACTATGTAAGATTTAAATGCCAAACCATAAAATCAGCATACCTTTGTTTTAAAATCTAGCCCATAACAATAAAAAGGAACTGATAAAAATTATTTTTTGTTCTCGTACGTTTAAAGAAGATGAAACCATGGCCAGTGTAAAATTACAATTTTCTAGAAGCCTTCAAGCTAAAATTGTAAACATTTGACTTATACTTTGTGCCACCTCCCTATATAAAAGGAAGCGCAAGGAGTGCCAGATTGTACGAGGTCATTCAATTCCAGAATGCATTTGTGCGGTTCATTCACAACCCCTCTGGTAACCTGCAGACAATCAACAGAAAAAAGTCGCCCTAAAAAATGCCAGATGCATCATAAACATCTGGTGCCAGAACACGTAATCAATATACCACCAATGTGCAGGCATAAAAAACAAACACTCGTAGAGCATATCTTTCCTAGGCAGTAATTTACAGCAGTAATTTACAGCAGCAATATATATGAATTCTCTTTGCACAATAACGTCATGTTTGGCCATAAGCTGTCACATCCAAGAGAACCTGACACATGCCCATTGGCACCCACCGCACGCGAGAAGACAAAACCACAAATCGAGCACCATCAATCACCGGACACATGAGTCACTTTTCCTTCCAAGTACGTGGAGCCAAGGAGTAGCAACGAGAGTAGCAATGGTAACAGCAACGACAACGACCCCATTTTGTTTTGTGTGGCCATTCTCCCCATGGAAGACTCAACAAAGGTTTCCTTACTGTCCGAAAATTTGTGTCCCAAAGCATTGTTCTCAGTATTTGGGAGAGTCCATCACGCTCGTGGCTTGGACGTTGGTGTGACGTTCTTCACCTCGAAGAGCTTGCGCACAAAGTAGACCTGGATGGTGGAGGTGAGCACAACGATGGCACACTGTGCCAGGGACCAGTACTGGACGTAACGGTTGTTGCCGTCCACAATGTACCAGTCCTTGGCCATGTGTCTCCGGTTCTGGTCCTGATACTTGAGCATCTCTCCTACTTGGCCATCCACCTTTTGTAGCACGTCCTGCAAGAGTGGATGATCTTGAACTGGACCTGTCTCGTAAGACAACTCTCCACTTTACTCGAGGGAAAGCCCCCCAAGCTACTGATCCTTGGGTGGCACTTTTCGATAATCTTTAGGTGACCCAAGGCAGCAAGCGTCTGAGGCAGTGACTCCCCAACTGCGGTCTGCAAACCCCTGGCGGACCCCCACCCCCCCCGGTGTTTGTGGCAGCATTTCTGGGGGCTTCACGCTGATTTGGGGATTTTTGGACCAGGAATCTTTGCAGCTAGAAACTTACAGTACCATCTTGCTAGTTTCAAATTGTGGGTGTGTTCTTAATATACCTCCTCTCGTTGAGAAAGCACTGAGGTATTATGTTACAACTTTCATAGACTTTTGGCTGTGAGAGACCACCATGTTAGGGCTTGCTCATATGATGTCAAGGACAATATAATTGATTGATATTGAACTGGAATGATGACTTGAGCTTTTTTTTTATTTATGCCGGCATCAGTTCCCTGGCGTGTTAAACACAGGTTACACAACCTTTCACAAGATAGGACCGATTGGACCTAATCACTTTAAATAAGCATGTAAAGATATGCTTGATGTATTGTTTTTGTGCCTTTGCATGTTCGACTTCTTTTTTCACCTGCTTCCACAGTTCTTGTCGAGAAACTATTCAATGGGTTCTGCGAATGATAGACACAAAATTTGGGAAACGCTGTTCTAAAATTATCACGTCTATGGCTCATTAGATGATCTACATCATAAATAGGGTTTTGTGTTTTTGGAGTTTATTTTCCATCAAATTCAGAGGGTGTTTTTCGGAGTTTATCAAAGTTAAATTTTTTTAGATTCTCAATTTTTTTTCTAATTTAAAGTTTAATTTTGCAGCGTTTTCTATTTTTCAGAATTGAAAATAAAAAATAATTTGGTGTAAATCTGCTAGATTCAAAAGAATGTGAGTGTATTAAATAATATTTCTTCAGCTGTGTTGCTTCGATAAATGTTGATACCTTAAAATTACTTAAGGGGGGACACTACCCGGAGAAAAAAAGATTCATCAAAAAACATAGATTTTGAAAAATTACATATTTACATCCATCTACATCCAGAGAGTATTCCCAGAAATTTTCACTAGTTTACACTGCATAGTTAATTTTTTATAAATTATTTTCTGTCCACCAAAGCTAAAGGAAAGGTAGGGTTTGGAGCACTTTGAACACATTTTTCTCCGTTCCACTTTTTTGTATAAATACCATTTTAGTCAATCTATCGTTTGAGAATGGAAATACAGGCAAGGCTCGTTCTTCACTTTTCCTGACTGAAATTTAATAAGGAATGTGCCTATGGAGTTTGTTTGTCACTTTATGGATGTCTTTTATAAAAAATTTTGACATTTTGTCGGAGACACAGAAGACCAAAAAGTTGACCAATTTCGCAGAAGAGAAAATTGATAGAAATCAATTACTTTTTACAAAAACCTTTCCATAGGCGCACCTCCTAGGCATTCTGCTACATATCTAGCGAATAAAAATCTTTAATATTGTGATAGTTTTCTGAGGATAGATTAACTAAACAGTGTAGGGGTGTTGCTGATAGAAGCTGCCCTAATTTCCTTCCCAATTAACCGACAGACCTAAAATTTTGTTATGCGCCCTCTAGCATGACCACCAGCCTACCCTGTAAATTTCATTAATTTTAAGCCAAGGGTTCAAAAGTTGACCCTCCCAGGGGGTGTCTCCCCTTAACTCCTAGAAGTAGTCTCCATCAACTGGGAAGCTCGTTTTTGATCCCCATCCTATTCAATCACGCTACCCTGCGGCTGTGCGCGGGGCAGTGGTAAATTAATATAGAAGCTTCAACAATGCTCCCCCCCCCCCCCCCTTCCCCCTACTATGAAGCCTCCATGGTTCAAAGCTTTCACTGATACAAAAACACAACTAGAAACTGGAGCAGTGGTTTTACCCTGACCCAGAAGTATGATAACTTGTCCTGAATGAATTTGGACGAGCTACACGGTAACAGATAACTTGTCAATGACCCGAGATTTGAAAGGAAAACGGGTGGAATGTTCTTGGGACTATTCACCTTGTGTGCTGACCAAACTTAGTTGTATATTAGTCTTTTTTTTTTTGCACTGGAACACTAAAATTTTGAGTTTATCGGATAAATTTGAATTTACAAATTTTACCAGCGGGTGTTTTTTAGAGTTTTTCAGATTTATCTTAAAACACAGTATACTAATCATAGAGCAAAGACAAACTGGAAGAAAGAGCCAATAAAGTGCATGTTGAGTCCTTTCATTCCTCAACGATACCCCAGGGGCGCTTTAACGCACGCCTCACAGTAGCAGTGCCAGCTCCCAAAATCAATTTCGTTTTATAAAAGCAAAACCTGCTAAAACTCTCCCATATCTTGTGGCCTCACACAGTGGTCTGCTGGCTTGTTGCAGTTAAAAAAATTTGGACTGAAGGAGAACAGTAATTGGATCCCAACAGTGCAACCAGTTTTGTATTTGCAACTCCAGCCCTGCACTTTCTAATCCTTACTACGTTGTTATATCCATTAGGCAGCACAATTTTCCCTAGTACATTCTGTCAGGTGCAAATCCTTTGTTTCTCTACTTCACATGGTAGCTACTGGAAGCTGTTATTTAAATTGAAGTTTCCCACCAGCATGGGAAAACAAGCATAGGGGGCACTGGGCACTAAAATTAAACTAGAAAAAAAGTGGATGAAAATCTTGGACCCATTTTTGCATTGCAGCATGTTGCATTTTCTCAGTTATTCACCTTCTTTTCTCTGGCAATCTTCATAGCTCATTTTTTTCAACATAACTGGAAGTCAAACTATACACAGACAGTTTAAGCTACAATATTCAAAGTTTCAGGCACTTATGCACCGGAAACGTCCATTTTATTGAGGCTCATTTTAGCAAACGCTGGTTTATAGACCCCCGGGCATGAAACCCCTTTAGAGAGAAACCAGTTTAGAGAAGATGGCGACGAGCCTCCTTTCAGTGAATTTGTTTTTATGGAAGCACGATTCCGGATTGGGCGACGCAAAACCTTTGGGGGAGGGGGGCCAAGGCTTGGGTAAACATGCTTCAGTGAATCTCACGCTAGCCTTTTCTAAACAGCGTCCCCTTTTCAATAAACAGTTTCTCTCTAAACTGAGGTTCTGCTTTCTCTAAACCAAGCTTCAATAAAATGTGCCCGTTCTCTAAAACGAGTTTCAATGAAATTGCGTACGATCAACCGTAGCGAACCCCTTGTGCTCTTGCACACTTTAAGGGCTGATCAAAGCTAGGCACTTCAGAAATGCAACAGAAAATTGTCCCTAAGTATAGATGACCTCTACTTTATGCTGCCCTTTTATTTTTATTCGCTCTCAGACGTGGTGCTAACAAGATAATGAATGTGGTGACAGGTGTTAGAGGGATCATAAAACATTGGCATTTTCGCCACTCTATTCTTCCCGACTGTTCAGGGTTTACGTTTTGTTAATTTACTTACCATAGAATACCGAGCAAGCGCCCACCCAGAAGGGCGGAGATAATCTTGAGAAACTGGGGCATAGGCGCTTGTTAGGTCCGAGAGCAGGAATGCAAAAAGGCGCAGAAAGAGCAAGCGCCCACCCAGAAGGGTGGAGATAATCTTGAAAAACTGGGGGATAGGCGCCTCGGTCGGCCAGGTGTACTCTGAAGTCTGGGTTCGAAGCTTGATATGCCCTTTGCTTATTTTTTTTAGTAGCGGGAGGGTGCTTCTTGTGACCTGGGTGCAGGTTTGATGTTTTACGGCACACACTAATTCTTTCCAAATTTTTGTTTATTTACTTCAGTGTACTGAACAAGCAAGCCCTAGAATTGAGTTTTTAGTTTTGTCATGCTGACGACACCTTTTGTGTGTATCAGCTGACTCTTCTTTATTAAAGCTCCCTCCATGCCAAAAGCTTGGTGCAGCCATCTGCAGCCAGCATTTGTACAAAACAAACAAAATTATTAGGTTGCATATACTTACAGTGAAGTTGTTGACTGTCACGCCAAGAGCCTCAATCTCCTGGACGTATGACTCCCACTTGTCTCTCTTGAAGGAGTTGAAGTACAAGCTCACCAGTTTTGCCGCAAAGTGGGACATAGAGTTGTCGATGCACAGCTGGTAGAACCCTGCAACGATGCAGGCACAAGATTTGCAATCACTAAATCAGGACATTCTGCCTGAATGGGAAAATCTAAAAGCTCAGGCCTATGTTTATAGGCATGGAGATTAGAGAGCCATCTATTTTTACATTTCCTTATTAACATCTGATGAATTAACTCTCATAACATTTCATTTTTCAAGGGCCGGCGGACTTTTAAGAAAAACGTCTGTGCCTTACTGTGGAAGTGATAAATAGGAAGGCAAAAATGACAAAAGGTTCAAAGGGAGAGTTGGGGCCTGTTCATTTTATTTTTCCAGTGTATTTTCTTGAAGTTGTGTAAGGTTTGCCTGTCTTGCTTTCAATTTTGCATGGCCAAGTTTATTCATAAATTGCCACTTGAAATGGAGTGACTGGCACCATTCTAAAAGGGACACTGACAGGGTGTTTATGCTCGCCGAGGTTTTTATTTGAGCATGACCTCTAAGAGCCCAACTACCCTGAACACAATTTGCGGCTCGAAATTCGTATTCTTTCCGCCCGAAAACCGCCGGTCAAGAATTGGTTGGTTTCAGGCGCGCTCACTTTCTTTTCTAAAATCACAAGCCATTCGAACTGATGAATGCGAAATATATTCAGAGTCGTGGGTCACCTAATGCACACATTCAATATTAGATATAAAAAAAAATATGGACCCCATTTTTTGGCTTCTAGGAAGCTGCAAATAAGTTGATCGAAAAACATTGTTGTACAAATCGCAGAAAGTAGATGTATACGTCATTCTCAATACGGCGATATATCATGGGCTGGACCACACGATGGCGACGCAAGAGGAACCAACGTTGCGACGGACGTGGGACCGCTACTTCAGACTGTGGTTCGTGATACCAACCAATCGATCTTCAAGCACAGAACAGTGAGGGGAAGGGAGGGGATATAAGTGCAAAACGATCTCACGACAAACGGTTCAAGCAACTTCCTCATTGTCGTCGTCTGCACACGCCGGAGAAGCGGAGTAACGGAAAAAAAAACTGGGTAGGGAGCGATAGCCACGTGACTTCCTGCAACTCTCTCCTTCGAACCTTCAAGCACATGTTTCGGTTTTGAGCAGTTGTGTTTTTATGTGGCTCTGTAGAAAATATTGATTGAGTAGTCTTCTGACACCCTACTAAATCACCTGGCAAAAAATTTGAAAATATTGGGAAAAATATTGGGGAATGTCTTTTTAAAGGGACATTGACACTACCCAGAAATGCTTTCTTTTTTTTCTTTTGGCAGGTAATTTAATATGGTGTCAGGAGACTACCCAACTAATATTTTGCTGCAGAGTCATGTCCAATTTTTAATAAAGCCAAAAAACTCATTTGCCCGAAACTGAAACCAAAACACGAGCACGGAAGCTCATGGCTAGAACTCGCATAACTACACCTGACCAATTTTTTTTTCTGCGCTTCTTTGGCATGTGTGTGAAGCAGACGAAAACAGCGACGAAGTTGCGTGTATCATTTGTCTTACGACTGTTTCGCATTTCCATTCCTTGCGCTCTACGTTCTCCGCTTGAAGATTGATTGGCCGGTACCACAAACGACAGTTCCGAAGTAGCGACCCCATGTCCGTTGCAACGTTGGTCCGTCGTGCAGCACCATCACGTCCAGCCCGCGGTATGTCGCCATATTGAGAATGACGTGTAAATGTGCTTCCTGTGATCTGTGTAACTTTTTCTTTCTTTCCACTCAACATATTTTTAGCTTCTTGGAAGCCACAAAAATGGGGTTTGTATTCTTTTCTATTTTTAATATTGAATGTGGGCCTTAGATGACCCCCGACTTTGAATATATTTGGTATGCATAGTTTGAATGCCACGTGACCATAGAAAAGAGAGTGATCGCCACTGAAACTGGCCAATTCTCGACTGGCTGTTTTCAGGCGGAATCCTCATCAATTGTATCTCATTAGCCAACTCGAAGCTGTCCAAAATCGCGCCACTCGTTTTATTACTCGCGATTATTCTCGAAAAAGCATTTCCTGTCTAAAACAGTCCATATCTCTCCATACACTAGAAACTCGTAGAAAAAACGAACGGCTCTCTTTTATGCACAGACTATACTACAACCCATGGTCACCAAAAACATTCATTTTCCCGGCTCATCATATTTCCTCTCGCCTAGATCATCAATGTAAAGTCGAATTCATTTTCTCTAGAACTAACGCCTACAAATACTCACCTCTCCCTCTATGCATTTCTGAATGGAATAGCATGCCCTCAAGCCTGGTGACGATACGTGACCATAACCATTTTACGCAGAAGCTTGTTAAGTTGTTTGAGTGATCTCTGTATAATAATGCTTTCTCATTGTTCTCATACAATGTTTTCCCAAATTTTTGTGAATTTGATGTACCCCCCTTATGTAATGCCTCACATAGAGGCCCTTAAGTTAATAAAATGAAATGAAATGCAAAAAAAAGAAAACTAATTTCGAGCCACAAATTATGATCTGGGTAGTTGGGCTCTCATACGTCATGTTCAAAGTAAAACCTCGGCGAGCATAAATACCCTGTCAGTGTCTCTTTAGTTCTTCACAGCCATCATTTATTGTCCCACTCTCTTGTCACTTCAGAACTGTTGCAAAACCTATGGTGCCATCTAATGAGATTTTTTTTTTTTTTTAAGCTAGCCCTCGCAATTTCTAAATATGATAAGGGCATCTGGCCTCAGAAACACTAAATGTTACGATCAGAAAGCACCCATTAAATATTCATACCTGATGGGTATTAATGTTTAATGAATTATGAACATGCCTAGGTGAATGCTTGATGGCAATGGCGTAGCCAGGGGGGAAGTTTATGGGGCTTCAGACCCCCCCCCCCCTCTTCCCAAAATCCAGCAGACCCTATTCACGTCTCCAACTCGTTGCTCGCCCTTCTACGGCAGAAAACAGGAGGCGCTCTAGTGAGGGTCCCTCGGTTTTCCTGCTCAGCAGGCATGGTGGAACAGCTCGCTATCATAGCTCGCAAAAGGTCATTTCCAAATGCAAACAACACTTCACTGTCCCAATGTAGAGCTGCAGCTGGTATGGAATTGTACTTTGCTTCAGAGTTTTAATACGACGTATAGAAGAAGCAAACGCAAGCAGTGTGCGTTTGCGTTAGAGTTGCTTGCATGCTGCACGCTGCAGATACGCGTCGTCACCATGCTCCAAACCAAGACCGCAATTTTGGGCTCTCCGCACGCGCAGTGTGAAACATGCAATGCTGATGGAAACGCAAAGTGCTTGCGTTCGCTCGTATATGCAATATTAAAAGGAAAATCCACAGAGTCGGCTCTGTTGAACATAAAGGAAAAAATAATAAGTAATATGGAGTCTCGCCTTTACACACTCGGTATATTTTTAGACTTTCGCAAAGCGTTCGATTCTATAAAGCATGACATTCTTATAGGAAAATTACCACGGAATGGAGTAAGGGGAATAGCTCTTAACCTTATCAAAAACTATTTATTTGATAGAATTCAATTGACTGTCCTGAATGGTTTTAAATCGCAGATTTCCCCCGCATACAGTACGGTGTTCCACAAGGTTCCATCCTTGAACCTTTGTTATTCCTAATATATATAAATAATATTGTTAACGTGCCGCTTACTCCCTATATTATATTGTATGCTGATGATACTAACGTATTCTTTTCCGGAGATAATCTGCAAGAGCTTGAAGAAACTGCAAATAGCTGGCTTAATGAACTATCTGTTTGGTTAGAGCCTAATCAGCTAGAATTAAACACAAAGAAAACAAACTATGTACTATTTAGATCAAAGAACAAACCATTACACTATAAACCACATATCCACTTTCTAAATTCAACAATAGATTCTACTACAGCACACGAATTTCTTGGAGTATGGTTTGAGGAGTTTTTAGGTTGGACAAATCATCTAAACAATCTAAGATGTAACATCTCACGTTCAATTGGAATGCTGCGCAAACTAAGGGAATTACTACCATACTGGATCACACTAAATCTGTACTACACTCTTGTATATTCTCGGTTACAATATTGTCTTTTAGTGTGGGGCACAACAATGAAAACAAACACTGAGAAAATATTCCTTTTACAAAAGAAGGTTGAAGAATTATTGACAATTTAGGCTACATCGAACATACTGCACCCTCATTCGAAAAATACAAGTTACTGCCAATAGAACATATCCTTTCTCATAAATTGGCGATCATGATTTTTGATCAGATCAAGCATGATGAGACACATTTCCTTGATACTTATCTTCATAAACCTGCGGAATACGATCTCAGGCGTACCAATTATACAAAACCAAATGTTAGAACTAACTATGGAACTCAAAAACTAGATTACCAAATTCCTAACCTACTAAATAAACACCCAAGCATCGTACAAATAGCACAGCAGTGTAGAACAATCCATGCGTTCAGAAAAAGTCAAAACATATTTCCCTGAAGGCGATCGCCTGCCTTAGATTATTGTAAGAAAATGTAACTTTTATATGTTCTTATTGCAAATATAGTGCCTTTAATATGTCTTTCTTTCATGGTGTTATGAAGTGTTGTGATGTGTTATTGTCACACATGCTTTGGATGATTTTGTTGATAATGACGATGTTAATGTCAATTAATACAATTTTCTCTTGTTTTTGTTTCTTTTCTTTCTTTTTTTTTGGGGGGGGGCGGGGGGGGGGGGGGCGGGGGTTTATTTGACGCATTGCTTATGTTCATATGTTTATATGGATGATATTGATCGGAATGGTTTACTGATGCATATGTTTATTTCGATTTTGTTGCTAAATTATTGTATGCTGTTTCTGTTGACTGCTATAAGCGGGGGGAAGGAGGGGGGGGGGGGGCTGGCGGTTTTTTTGCCTTCTTTTGCTGCGGCCCCCCAGACATATGTATGACACATGTATGTCTGAAATACCTAAACTATTCTATGCTATTCCATTCTATTCTACTGGTTCACCAGTTTCCAGTGCCAACGAAAGCGGGTAGGCATTCCTTCGAACTG